GTCTTCCACAAACCTGCGGGAACGCAGCTTGCCATAGCTTGCCGCTGGTCAACTTGAGCTGGTCAACACACGCTTCTGGTTCTTCGAATATGGAAAAGCTACCATAACTAATTACAGGATGGGGCCCCCCAGTTATAAGTTGGTTTATAAAACATTATAACCCCATGAAAACGACTTCGTTATGTCTACCATAAACCATAGATTTCAGCCACTTTTTCAGGCGTTTCTGAACGCGAGCTCGCTCGACTGGGGGCCCCATCCTGTACCATTGAGGTGGGCATCCGTTCGATGAAGCCCCAAATTTTGAAGGGTTTAATTTATATGTTTCCCTGTTCAACTTTGACTTTTAGAGTATTGTCAAAATTGTCAGATTCGTCATCTCTAAATCCATTGGTTTATCCATGAAACAAAACTGTTTCGCCCTTGTTTCACATCACCATTTTATATTCATCACGGCTTACGGGTATCTCCCGTTTTCAGACCCCCAAAAAGATCGGATGGAATTTCCAGGACGGTTGTTGATCCTGTCACCATGCGGTGCCGCCGTTGGAAGTTGCTTCGTATAGAGACACTCAAGTGTGGATATATTCATAAACCATAGCTAATAGATGCTAATAGCAACTAATCTATTTAGATGTTTTTAAAAACTAATCTCTTTAGATGTATTTAAACTCCAGTTTAACCACGGGGCACCACCTTGTTTCACTTTGAAATCGTGTATTTTGTACCGAAAATTAGACTGTAATGGGTTTGAGTTTCAAACCATGGATCATTCCACCCTTGACCCACGCTCATCTTCAAGCAGATGTAAGCGCCGAACAAAGCAACTGCAAGAGACATTCAAAGTAGCATTCTGAAAAGAATCAGGAGACATATGAACAGTCAAGAGTACCAGTTGGTGCGAATTAGTATTGATATATTTATACAGTTATACATATCGATGAAATATGGATTAATTAATGTTTGAGAAACAAAAATAAACTATCCCCGAAAGTACCATAAATAGGTGGTATAACCCATTCCCAAATGGGTGTACTACATTAATGCTATTTAATAGTGCCATTTTTCCGCGGCTTCAGGTCCCCCTCAGTGGTGACCCCACAGCTGCCTCCAGCGGCGACAGCAGCCACGTCTTCGAAAACGTCCCGAAGCTCAGGGAGACGACTTGCTGGTGGAGCTGGTGGAGGGTTGAGAACCAACATCTTGGGAATGGTTTATACAACCCATTCATGGTGATTCAATGGGAATACTGTCAACCCCGGATTTTGCTAAACCATGGTTTATTAATTAGGGGGATATTCCCCCAATAGTCATGATTTGATACTTAAATGGTACCTTCCCAATTAAACAGCCTGGGGGTTCATTAATCCAGGGTTGACATTATGTTGGGAATATACCCCTTTGGTAATTTGACATAGCTATGGAATCATGGAACATGCTTCATTTATGTTTGATGTTGCTATTGAAATGGTGATTTTCCAGAGCTATTTTAATATTCCAGAGGGTGACCATCAACCCATATGGATTTTTGAATGGATGATAGCCCAGTTGAAAAAATTGAGGTAACCCTATTTGGGATTTATTCACCAGGCTTACCAACCAGCTCTCACGTGGTGCCCCATAGTTTGAAAAAAAAGGCTGATGTCACTAGGTCGGCTACGAAAAAACTGTGATCATAACTATGGCTAGACTGGCCAGATGGGTAACAAACCAACTTAAGACTAGCACCACCTGTAGGGAGATTGATGTGATATTGCTGGAGATGTTGATGTCAATGGATTGCTTTAAGGAAAAGTCTACAGGAAACCATGGTTTTTACCATCAAATATAGGGGTTTCCTGTAAATTTTCCCATCTTCCAATTCTATGATGATGGAATATTACGACAACTTATATAATATGATATGTGGGTGAATGGAAAAGGCGAGGTATGATCCCCAAAATAGGCTAGGGCAATAGCTGCGTTGGGAAAATGATGATTTTCAGCAATCGATTGAAGGAGATACGCCAGGATTCAAAGCCATAAAGTTGCCATAAAGTACTTGGTGATCCCTCCCAGTTTGCTATGGAAAATGGCAATTTATAGTTGATATACCCATTAAACATGGTGATTTTCCATAGTTATGCATAATTATCTGGTTGGTGGTGACTGGAAAGATGAAATTTTATGACTTTCCATATACTGGGAATGTCATCATCCCAACTGACGAACTCCATCATTTTTCAGAGGGGTAGGTCAACCACCAACCAGTACTCATTTTACCAACATAAAATTATGTTTCAGCCAGGGTTGGTTGCTACTCAGAGGTTACCTAGCCATTCCATTGGTTCATTTCAGTTAATTATTATTCTTTTAAGGATGTACATAACAACAAATGTGGGTAAGACAATGCCATATTTACCATCCCCCAGTCATCACCATTTTTATAGGTGGTATAGTTACCATTCCCAGTCATGGGTGGTTTATGGCATTGTTTTACCCCCAGTATATTCCCATGATATCACCATTGTTCATAGTAAAATCATTATTTCCCACGAAATATTCCCATTGATATTCCCATGATCTATAGTTGTTGGAGTTATGTCTATCATCATATCCCAACTATAGATCATAGGGAATATCAATGGAATATCTATAGATCATATTGATAATTGATAATTCCCATTGATAATTCCCATTACTGATCATAATATACCATAGTTATAGCTATGTCCCATGTTACACCATAATATACTGCAGCTTAGCAGGGGGTCTGGGAGCTAACCGATGCCATACTGAATTGTTCGTCACCAAGGCGGCCGAAAGAAACCTCAAAAGCACAGGTTGGGCGGTGGTTTTTGGGGTCGTCTTAAGTGGTCCATGTTGGTCCATACGCTGAACTATGGATAATAACCATAGACATATACATACACTATATGTGTATGTATATATATATATATATACAAACATACATACATACATACATTAATTACATACATTAATTACATTACATACATACATACATTAATTACATACATTAATACATACATACATACATACATTACATTACATTACATTACATTACATTACATTTACATTACATACATTACATACATTACATACATTACATACATTACATACATTACATACATACATACATACATACATACATACATACATACATACATACATACATACATACATACATACATACATACATACATACATACATACATACAAATATATATATATATATATATATATGCTAGCCCGTGTTTTGAAATTACCTAAGATGGGATTTTGAATGCATGCCAGTTGACCAAGATTGTGTATATGTCGGCTCGGTCAGTGCCACAGCGTCGCGGTTTATTGATTGGTCCTCTTTTCACAACCTTTGAAGAAAAACACTACCTTCATTAAGTCTTGTCTTAGAACAAATTACTGATGTTACCATGCAGCTGTTTGCTATTGTTTGCTCGCGATGGGAAGGAATATGGAAGGAGGGAATCATCCCATGATGACCAGACCTTTCAAATTGAAGAAACTAAAATACTTCAGCCAGATAGTGTGTATAAATGTGTATAATATATATATATATTGTATATAATATATATATATATAATATACGTGTGTCAACAAATATTAGCGTGTCTTAGTTTTCTTTTGCCGGTTCAACCTATCACAAAGTGGGAAGCAGGAAGCTGACAGTTTCTGGATGATGAAAACCAAGTAACCAAAAAGGGAACAACAAAAACAAAGCACACATAAATACGCATCAAGTCAAAATCCTGGCCAAACGATACCCTAAAATAGCTGCTTAGCAGATGTTTAATCCCCCAAAAGGTTTTGAACCTTTCCCACATGAATATATTCAAGAGTCAATACATCAAACTTCCAAAACAGAACACACAGCCCATATCCTCCGCATGTGGCATATCTATACAATATCTGGATCATTTTCTTTCCGGTAAATGTAATACATATTCAAAACATCGATCATCGGGGATATGAGAATTGGGATCTGACCAGTAACAATATGTATTTGTTTCTGGGACATGAACCTGTAAAGAATGATAAACAATTGTATTCGATTAGGATTTGATCGATGAAGTTGGGGTATTTAATCACTTGAAGCACTGAACATATTTTTAATCGGTGATATAACCAATATTATCTGTAGTGGCAATGCAGGTGGAATATGCAGTATCTATTAGAATTGATACTTAACAACTAGCACGTGGTTTCTAAACTTCTAGATTCATAAACCATCACCGACCTTATAGAAGTTATTATATGTAGATAAGTAGTAACCCAACAGATAGTTAAGAAGTAAGCATTATAATTTCATCTAACAAACCAAGTAGTAAAGCAACAATAACTCCACATGCAAAGGAAGCATATGGCTAAGGGTGGAAGTAAGGCACCAAGCCACCCAGGGACATAGACTGAAGAGCTGGCACAAGGAAATGAAGGTTTCCTAAGTCATGGGGGTACCCCTAAAGCATCTTTTGTTGTGATTTTCCCTTATAAACCATCCAGCTATGGGGGTACCCCCAATTTAGGAAACCTCCAAATGAACTGGAAGTAAGGTGGAACTGAACTGATTGGGTCTGGCCTCAAGAGCATCGGAGCCAGAATGCAATAGTCCTTCATCAGCTGCTCCACCTCCACATCTTCTGCAATCGGGGGGTTCTTTTAGTTCGGGGTTTGCCCAGAGTTATGGCCCGAGTCATACCAGTTATAAATACTAAGTCATTCAACAAAGCCCGATTGATGGAATCTATAATACCATAGAAATCACCAGTTACAACTACTGGTTGGTTGTTTGGAACATGAATTTTATGACTTTCCATATATTGGGAAGAATAATCCCAACTGACGAACTCATGTTTTACAGAGGGGTAGTAGGCTCAACCACCAACCCGTATGGAAATCCTAGGTGACTTATCTGATTTAGAGCTGATTTAATGAGATTCACTTGACTTCACCACTGATTCACTTGTGTAACAAGAAAGGAACCACCAAGTAGGTATACCACCAACCAGATGGCCCAGTCACTGCAAGTCACCATAGGCCGCACCGGCTTCGGCTTCAACGGCTTCGGCGCCCGCTTCGACGTTTTCGACGGTGCAGGGTGCGGCCGCGCGGCAGGGGCGCTCTGAAGCTGCCTTGGTGCGGGGTCCCGATGAAAGGAACGCCTGGTGGTGATTTGATGGTGTTTCATTAAGGAGAAGATAGAAATTGGGATTTTCCGTAAATGATGGATCCCCAAAAATGGTTGGTTGATAAGTTTATAATGGAACATACCACTAAAATGGATGATTTAGGGATACCTCTATTTTAGGAACCCCCCCAAATTGTTTTTTCTTTATGGAACTTAGATGGCGATTTGTTGGGACTTACATGGACTCACCGTCTGGTTTTTCAACATAGCGAACTGGAAAGCATTGCCCATTTAGTTTGATGATTTGCCTACTAAACATAGTGATTTTCCACAACTAGATTAACATACCAAAAGATAATCAAGGAGAACGTGTTTTATGTTGGAGACTTACATGGTGATTTAATGCCATGTCACCAAATCTTTGGTGGTATAATAACTCCAATAATTCAGGTCTATGTATGTTCAAAGTAGACCTGAATAGTTTTTGTTGTTGATTTACTATTGGGGATGTCAGTTGGTTTACCACCACTATTCACTCTTAGATGCATCTACCATAAATGTCCATAAACCCTTTAGTTATTAGTTATTAGTTACTGAATTTCTAACCAACGTTACGGCGGTCACCAATTCTGGCGCAGCACCGTGATTCGGAATGATATGGTGAACAGTGGTGAAACTGATGAATTATCGATAGCAGCTGGGGTGAAAACAGATACCATGGTAAAATTTGGTAAAATATGGTATTTTCAAAAAAAAAGGGAATGTGAATGATCTCTGTAGCTGTTGCAATGGCTATATGTTGAAATAAATGTTTCCCAAGTGAGCTGTATGAAAAGAATCTTAAGAATTTCATTGTAGGGGGTTCTAATTGGTTGTGTTTTGGTTGCCATTTATGTTATATAATTAAATTGTATCTTGTTTCTAAGCATCATGTACATGTGTATATATATATATAATATGTATATAGCATGTTGTGTTGTCTATTGTTTTTCTGAGTTTGATATCCATACTCCTGGATGAATTACCAACGCACTGGCCATCTCATTACACATGACACTTAGCAAGTAGGGACCATCCTCATGGTTTTACCAAATCGTAGCTGTGTTGGACCGTGATGTCTGTGGGTGAGTTTGAAGCGGCATTCATCGTGCTTGAGACAATGGATTGTGTCAGTTGCATAAAAAGGGCAACTGCAAGTGCTTTGATGTGAATCAACTGTTGGTTGTAGATGTGAAAGAATCCACATGCCAAGTGTCAAACTGTCACCTTGCAATTCAAAACGATCCGCATAAGATGAAAACCATGATGGAGATAGTCGCCAGTGCATTTGATGGGGACTTCACCATCTTGAAACAACTTTCAATGTGTGGCAGTCGAAAGTGAAATCCTGGTTGGTTGTTGGTTGAAGTTGGTTGATATCCCATGATATCGATATCCCCATAGTGAAGTTCATGTTGGTCAAAGCTTCCCAGCTTGCTTGCGGTGCAACTAGCTTGCGGTGCCAGGGCTAATAATCCAGATTTTGAATGTTCAGTGATCCAGATATTTGGCCCGTTTGACTACCATTTTGGCTGTTGTCCTTGACGGTAAGGTTTGTACAGCTAAGTGGGTTTATAACTCCAATACCTGGAGTTCATGGCAATTGTAACTATGGTTAATGAGGTTTGGCTAGCCTTTCATATGTTTGATCTGCAAAACCAAGGCACAAATGCAAGGTTCACCGTCTCACCCTGCAAGGTGCCTTCAATTTCTTAGAAAGATTGCTCCCAAGCGTAAGCTGCTCTTTACAAAGGTGGCAACTAAACTTGTTGCCTTGCAGATGATACACAACCCCTTCATATTTACATAATATACAATATTAAGATATCATATGTAAGTAATAGATATGCATATTATAATTGTAAATAAACATTTAGATATACCAAAAAAATCCTCAAAAATCGGAGTTCTTTCAACCAAGCGGTCGCATACCTTTAGATCTCCAGCGGTCGTGAATTTTCTGCTGCTCCTCTCAGGTTTCGGGCGTGCCTCGCAGGCGCTTCCAGTCGATGCTTCACCAGTCGAGCGAGCGATCGCGTGAACCGAAACGCCTAACAAAAAAGTAGCTGAAAAAACTAGGGTTTATGGTATATGGTTGAATTCTATATTGAATTCGATTGGGTTTATGGTAGATATAACTATAGATAACTATGGTTTATGGATGTTTATGGTAGATATGGTTGAATTCTATTGAATTCGATTGGGTTTATGGATGTTTATGGTAGATATAACGAACTAGTTTTCATGGGGTTATTTCATGGCTTATAAACCAACTTATAACTGGGGTACCCCAATAGCTGGATGGTTTAAAATTGAAATTCCCAGATATTAAATGGATGATGAATCCAAATTAGTAATATATATATATAGATACCATTGTTTGTTTCATTGGATGATTTGGGGGTAGCCCTATTTTAGGAGGAAACCTCCGTATTGATGTAGTTCCAATATAGTTTCATAAACTTCCATAGATGTTATGTGGATGTTCAACGTGGTGATATATAATGATATATAGCTAAATTTTGGCAGAATCCTTGGACCCAGGAAGAATCAAAGCTCGAATTGGGAATCACATATCCAATTTGCAGCAAAAATTAATTGGCACATATGCTGTAAGAATCTGTCATATATGGGAAACTAATGGAAATTAAGGTTCTTAACCACCATCGAACCCTAATAAACCCTCCAGAATTTGAACCTAGCAATAGGACACAACGAATTTCAGTTGATGATTACTGTACATATCCCATCTATGTTCCCACTAAAAGTGCAGATTGTCCAGCAATGTTAACTTATCAGAGGGTACAAGCTAGGGCCCAATAGATATATATATATATTATATTATATATATACTATATATATATATATATATTATATATTATATATATATATATTATATATTATATATATACTATATATATATATACATGCGTGCGTCGTGATTAAAGCAATCGTTCACGGTGGGTTTGTTTATACAATGCCTCATAGGGGAGAGCCACCTTGCAGGACCTATTCTCCCAATTTCAATCATTATCCTAATTATCCCAATATCCCAATAGGTGGCTCTCAATTAATTATGGTATATTGGGATATATTGGGAGAATACCTGGGATATTCTCCCAATTCATTAAAATATTCATATTCCAATATATCCCAGTTATATTCCACTTAATATCCCATTGAAAGCTTATTTTTTTTCGTAGTTAAGTATGGTTTATCCCAATATCCAATTATCAGTCTTGATTCTTCAGGCATCATGGTATTAGATTATGGAGAATAAACACCGGATATCCCAATAACATCCAATACCTGGATTAGCTGAAGATGATATGTTGCAGTAATAGTATTCCCAACGGGAAATCCACGGTTTGCGGAATCTATAGGGAGTATTGTTTATTTTCGGGGGGTCCTTCAGTAAATCCAAGTTGAGCATGGAATCTACCATCCTGTAATCAAAAACATGGCAGCCTGGAAAATCGGCCAGTTGGAGCATGGATTTTCCCATTAAATTTGCATTGGATTATAAGCGATTTCTCATTGCCACGATTATCAGAAGGTGAAGGAAATGGAATAATATGCTGGTTAGTGGTTTGGAACATTTTTTACTGTTCCATATATTGGGAATGTCATCATCCCAACTGACGAACTCCATCATTTTTCAGAAGGGTAGGCTCAACCACCAACCCGTATGGAAATCCTAGGTGACTTATCTGATTTAGAGCTGATTTAATGAGATTCACTTGACTTCACCACTGATTCACGGCTTTCTGAATGTCACTGGGGAGCCGTTCACCGATTTTGTCAGGCCCTGGGCGCCTGTGGCGGTGCCGTCCTCAGCCAAAACATGACATATGGACATTAGAATTCATGGGTGATCAACAGTTTCGGCCATTTTGAGGGTTTATAGCATCCCACATACCGTATTAGAGCCGCAATTTTAAGAGCCCTAGAAAATATTGGTGAATCCCTCATGTTTGGACATGGGATGCCCCAAATGCCAATGGATTGTCATCATCTTCCCCATTTAAATGGCTATAACTGGGGGTATATCGCATTTTCACACACACACATTTATATAATATACCTATATATGAAGTATAGATACAGAATGGGGGCCCCCAAGATAGCGTTCAGTTGCCTTATAGGTGGCTTAACCATGGTTATGAACCAACTTATAACCGGGGGGGTGGGCCTGACACCATCAGTTGATGCGGGAGAGACATCCATTAGCTGCGCTGGCTTCAAGATGGCTTTGGACCCATCGCCATGTGAAGATATCATGGTCATGATGTTGACATGGGTACCTCATATATATGAACTATATATATATATATGTATATACATATGATGTATATATATATATACTGTATATATATACGCATTATATATATATAGATAGATAGATAGCTATAGCGTGTTCCGATAGTTTACATAGCCCGTAGAATTGGACGATGCAATCCTGAAAGGATTAGCCAAGTAGTAGCTAAGTCTGGCCCGAGGGAACAAGTAGTGGCCTGGCCCACAAGACCATGGCTCCACATAGACAGATTGGTCCAGGGTGGTGCGCTAAGTTGGTGAACATACCCTCTGGTTATTTAACATAGCCATGGGAAATGGCCCATTTATAGATGGTTTACCTACTAAAAATGATGATTTTCCATGGCTATGTTAGTCATAACCAGAGGGTAATTCCAAAAAGTAGGCTTGCCGGTAGATATATCCATCTGGGTAAATTTCATTCCGACCGAACCCTGTTCTCCCGAAGCCTGGAAATCATGATTAAGACTTAAGATTCGGGAATCATCCGAAGTTGGTGGCCGCACTCTTCAGGTGAGTGAAATAGTCTAATCTACTCAGATTTAATGGCCTTTAAATGAGAATTTTCAATGGGTTTTAATTGGTTAAATATCTATGGTTAATGAGGTTACCAACTTACAGTCGGCCCCTGGTAATCCTCGAAGCGATGAGGCCTTTGGGCCTACTGTGAGTGTCCTATTTTTTACAGAAAGGATTCTATGTGATGTGATCATCACTGTATGTTTGTAAACATATGTATATATATATATTTATTGATACATACATACATACATACATACAGACATACAGACATACAGACATACAGACATACAGACATACAGACATACAGACATACAGACATACACACATACACACATACACACATACACACATACACACATACACACATACACACATACACACATACACACATACACACATACACACATACACCCATACACGCATACACACATACACCCATACACGCATACAGGCATACAGGCATACGTACATACGTACATACGTACATACGTACATACGTACATACGTACATACGTACATACGTACATACGTACATACGTACATACGTACATACGTACAAACGTACATACGTACATGCGTACATACGTACATACGTACGTACGTACATACATACACATATACATACATGCATGCATGCATGCATGCATACATGCATGCATACATACATACATACATACATACATATACATATACATACATATACATACATACATATACACATACATATTTATATATATATGTATATACATACATACATATGCATACATACACATACATTTACATACATATACATACATACATATATACATACATACATATACATACATTTACATACATTTACATACATTTACATACATATACATACATATGCATACATATGCATACATATACATACATATACATACATATACATACATATACATACATATACATACATATACATACATATACATACATATACATACATATATAACATATACATACATATACATACATATACATACATACATATACACATACATACATATACACATACGTACATATACATACATACGTACATATACATACATACATATACATACATATACATACATATACATACATATACATACATATACATACATATACATACATATACATACATACATACATACATACATATACATACATACATACATACATACATACATACATATACATATACATACATACATATATACATACATTCATACACATACATACACATACACATACACATACACATACACATACACATACACATACACATACACATACACATACACATACACATACACATACATATACATATACATATACATATACATATACATATACATATACATATACATATACATATACATATACATACATACATACATACATACATACATACATACATACATATGTGTATATTATATATATATGTCTTTTCCCCCAAAAATGCAATACCTTAAACCCAATACAGCTGGTTTGATTCAATTATCTCTCCAATATAGTTGTTTAAACCCCTTGATTCTTATATGGGTGTTTCCATGAATGGGGGATCCCCAAAATGGTTGGCTCATTTCGTGGACAATCCATCTATAAATGGATGAGATGATTTAGGGTACCCCCATTTTAGGAAACCATCCTCCAAATCACCATAAATAGGTGGTATAAACCATTCCCAAATTGGTGGTTTATGGCATTGTTTTACCCACATTAATCCCAGTGATACCCCATTACACCCCAGCTTTTATTGACAAGGCGCCGGACTACACAGCCTCCAGCCCTGCGACCCCTGCGACCCCTGCGACCGAAACCTCACCCTCGGTGGCGAAAGCTGAGGTCGAGAAGGGACGTCGTTGGCACATAGATATATTTCTATACTATGTATATATATATATATTATTGGACTAGCAATCGGTTATTATTTGAACATTGAAAAATCACATACCATGTATTTGTCTTAATTACATAGGTATGGAATCCATGGCCCATTTATAGCTGATTTATGATTATTTGCATACTAAAAATGATGATGTTCGATAAGTTGGTTTACAAACCCATTAACTACCGTAGATGGACGAATTATTCAAACCCTTTTAATGCAATAACCACCCGCACCCCCAATTACAATGTTGTTTTTTTGGTTTCGTTCGCTCCTTCGAATGGACGAAATAAATCAAACCCTAAGATCAGTAACAAAGATACGAGACCATAACGTTGAGATTTGGGGGGACAGGGGGTAGCCTTACAACTCATGGATGCGGGGTTTGAATAATTTGTCCATCTACTGTAGTTCGATATCTACCATGAACCAAAGTTGATGGATTTAAATTACCAGAGGGTATATCTTATCATTGTTCATTATATTCTCATTATATCCCTATAAATCCACTTTTCATACACATACATTCACTATTTTACAGTAGTATATAGTTAACAATATATATATATATGATTATTTTTGTTTACACATATACAATTTATATGAAATATGATGTATACATGATACATGATCAATTTCAACATGTCTCAAAGGTTTGTTTGTGTGGACACATATATTTATAGTATATATATACAGATGTAAATAGTTTAAATATAAATATATATATATAATATTACGAAAGCCAGCCGAAGGCCTGGGCTGAGTATAGATATAAGCGAAGCGAAGCGAAGCTAATCTGGGGGGTGTGGGGGGGGGAGGCTCTGATTCGGGCCCGTTTGGGAAGGTGAGGCCGGAGCCTGGCTGGGGAGAGCTCCAAAAATGAGCTGCCGCCCCCCCGTTTTTTGAAGCTTGAAAGAGAAGCTCCAGTTTGGACACTTTTGGTTGTTTTCTGACGTTTTTCATTGGGTGTCAAAAGCCAAAACACTGTAATTTACTGTGTTTTTGGGCTTTTGGCATGGAAAAAACAACTTCTTGCAACATGCTGAAAACTGCGTAAATACCACTCTCTTTTCCTAGGTGCCGGCCACAAAACACTGTAAATACCGTGGTTTTTGCTACCAGGAGCAAAAAACACCGTCAATACCGTGGTTTTGGGCTTGCGAGGCGTAAAAAAACACGGTATTTACGGTGTTTTTTGCCCCGAGACGCTTCAAAAAACACGAAAACACCACCGAATTGACGATTTTTGGGCTTTAAAAATGAACGTTTTTTTGCTTTAGAAATACCTGTAAAAAACATGCAGCAACAGCAACAACAACAACAACAACCACAACAACAACAACAACAACAACAAACAACAAACAACAAACAACAAACAACAAACAACAAACAACAAACAACCAACAACCAACAACCAACAACCAACAACCAACAACCAACAACCAACAACCAACAACCAACAACCAACAACCAACAACCAACAACCAACAACCAACAACAACAACAGCAACAACAACAACAATGTGAAAAAACGTGTGTGTGCGTAAAAGGGTCTGTGTGTAAAAGGGTCTGTTTGTAAACGTGTCTGTGTGTAAAAGGGTCTGTCTGTAAAAGTGTTTCTGTGTAAAAGGGTCTGTGAGTAAAAGCATTTCTGTGTAAAGATGTTTGTGTGTCAAAGGCTCTGTGTGAAAAAAACGTTTGTGTGTAAAGGCGTCTGTGTGTGAAAGGGTCTGTGTGTGAAAGGGTCTGCATGTAAAAGCGTCTGTGCGTAAAGTTGTCTGTGCGTAAAAGATCGTAAAAGGGTCTGTGTGTAAAAGGCTCTGTGTGTAAAAGTGTCTCTGTGTGAAGCTGTTTGTGTGTAAAAGTGTTTCTGTGTAGAGATGTTTGTGTGTCAAAGGTTCGTGTGTAAAAGCGCCTTTGTGTAAAGATGTTTGTGTGTGAAAGGGTCTGTGTGTTAAAGTTTTTGTGTGTAAAAGGGTCTGTGTGTAAAAGGTTCTGTGTGAAACAGCGTCTGTATGTCAAAGGGCCTGTGTGTAAAAGTGTCTCTGTACAAGTGTCTGTGTGTAACAGGGTCTGTGTGTAAAAGCATGTTTGTGTAAAGGTGTTTGTGTATAAAAGGGTCTGTGTGTAAAAGCGTCTGTCTGTAAAAGCGGCTCTGTGCGAAGATGTTTGTGTATAAAAGGGTTTGTGTGAAACCGTGATTCCGTGTAACGAGGTTTGTATGTACACTGGTCAGCGCGTCTGTCTGTGAAATTTTGTCCGCGTGTTGTTTGTTCCTATTTTGTTTTATTGGTTTTGTTTTTCTTTCTGAATGATATTTCGACGGTTAAGGGTCGCATCTTCTAACGCCGTACATGCCCAGCAAGGACCCCGGACCCCGGACAAATTTTGCGTTTGGGTTCAACGATGTGGCACTGTCATCGAAGAGACCCATGGAATGGCTGACCTGCTTGAGGCCTGAATCTTTCTCGAGGTAATGAGAGAAACGCGTCATGGTAGCATGGTACGCGAAGCGACGGGAAGCTAATCTAGGGGGTGTGGGGGAGGGGGCTCTGATTTGGGTTTGTTTCGGACAGTGAGGCTGGCTGGGGAGAGCCGCAAAAAATCCCGTGCCGCACTTCCGTTTTGTGGAGCTTGAGAAGCTCCAATTGTTTTTGTTGTTGTTGTTGTTGCTGCATGTGTTTTAACATTTTTAAAGCCAAACAAATGGTCAAATAGATGGTGTTTACGTGTTGTTTGAAGACCTTTTCACCATCGAGCCCTACGCCTAGACCCAATGAACCTAATCCGACAGAAAACCCTTTCCTGCGAATGTATGACGACAAGCTGGAAACTGCCAAGGACCACATCTGCTGCGGCAGCTGTAAAAAGTGGAACAGTCACCGCCGGATGATTACTTCCGGAGTGGTCTGTTTTCAAACAGCCGATGAAGATGGGGTGATCAAAACAAAGTACAAGAAAATTTGCGCCCGATGCTGGACTGCAGAGAAGAACCTCTCCACTCCCAAAGATGAGCCAAAGGTTTCGATGATGGATGCAGCCTTGAAGGAGCATGATAGCCTCTATGAACGACAGGCTCGCAAACAAGTGAGACGTACTACAGCTGATGTTCCTTCAAACTCCTGTTTGCTGAATGTCCTGTTTCGATAATGCTCCCCCCATTTGTCTGGAGGCTGGCTTTCGTCCCCCCCCTTCTCAGGTATATATATATATATATGTGCAACCAATCATATATGATATGAATAAATGCGCCTGAAAACGGCCTTGTAGCCTCAAAGAGTCCAATTAAAGAGGAAACAGCTACATGTGAGTAAACAGTGGATTTACGGCTACCCTCGTTGGCACGCATAATTTTTGGGATGGGTTGAGACCGCCAGGCTCTTTGTACGTCACTTTCTTGTAGCCGGCTGCATCAGCCCAAAGTTTTGTTTTTTGAGTCCTGAGTCTTGCTGCAAGAATATCTACTGGTTGGTGGTGGTTTCAAACATTTTTTATTTTCCATTTCATATACGGGATGTCATCCTTCCCATTGACTGTCATATTTTTCGAGATGGTTAAAACCACCAACCAGTATCTACTTTCGTCAGTTAATTTATGTTCTATAATTCATCTTTTTGGCAGTCCAATGGCCCATATGGCAATGATTCTCCACGCCAGGCTACACCAAAGTCTCCGGTGTCAGTGCCAAAGGCCACTTGGCAACCATCAAAAATGGTGGGTTATATTGGTTTATATTGGTTTATATTGGTTTATATTGGTTTATGATTGATTTCTGTTGGCTGAGTTAGTAAAAATATCCAGGTTTACTCTGGATTCAGTGATATGACATGATTTCATCATCCTGGATTGGTATTCTATGTTGGCCGACGACGGGGTGAACCTTTGGATTTGCTGGAGATCCGAATTTCTCCGTAGAACGAAGATGTGAATAGCCACAAAACATACGTAGCTTTGCTTGATTAAAGATATATCCGAACTTAGAGCCATGATTGCTATGTTTGTCGCCTCATATTTGTTTTGTTTAAGACCATTTTTGTACTTACTCTCCCTCAGAATAGCTGAAACATATGTTGACAGAAATCAATTCACATATACAATGTGTTAAAATTTCATTTTTTGAAGGTTTTGTTCCGTCTGAACCCCTTTTTTTATGGGCGACTTTTGATGGATTCGGATAGTTAACATGGACCAGACAGGAGGGTCACCCCGCCATGGCTGATAGTATAATCGGATCCCCCTAAATCTGATGTGGGTAGGAGACTGCCATATTTACCATCCCCCAGTCATCACCATAAATATATACAGTAATTAGGTGGTATGATTACCATTCATGGGTGATTTATGGCATTGTTTTACCCATATGAATTATAGAACATACGTTATACATTCTGGTAAATTAACAGTTGGACCCTGAAAATGACCAATTTATAGTGGTTTCACTAGTCTTCCAACCCCGACAACTGCCAGGGTCTATGTTAATATACCAGAGGGTACCATTCGATGGGTGATTTATGGCATTGTTTTTCCCACATTATTTTGGGGATGGTCCCATCATCAAGACAAGAATGTGATGTGAAAATCCCATTTGGCCCCATTGTTTGTGATCATTTCTCTGGAAGAAATAGCGAGTTATTTTTTGTAAATCAGTATCCGTTGTTTTCCGTCAAACCCACATTTTCATAGAACATGACCATTAACTGGGGTGTTCAGACAGACCATTAGCTATAAATATATATATATATACCTATTATATATATTATATATATATTGGGGATCACTACTTGATAATTCACCATTATATATATACATTGATGATTCACCATTTAATAGGAAATGATGGTATTAACCCATCATTTTAACCATATTGAACCATACTAACTATATTTAAATATATTTAATCAATATTTATCCCATCATTTTCCATTCAATTTGCCATTTGGGGGATTGTCTTTTCCGGGCCTCAGTGTCGGTAATCAGAAAGTCAGGCTGCGCCCAAGTCCCCGTCGGCTTCGGTTACGCCAAAGGCAGAGTTGTAGAGGATGTTGATTGGGTTACATAGAAATCTATAGAAATTTGTAGTCATCTCTATATCGACTCTAGTCCTCCATAGTAAACTACTGTAAGAGGGGCTTTATTATTTAATTCACCAACCAGTGAAGCCCCCCAGTTCTGATTAACCACAAACGCCAGCGCGTAAACTGGTTGTGAGTTCAACAAACTTGCTATTTTTGTTCGGTCCAACAGCTCGTAGATCATAATATGTTCCATGTTATGTTCATTGGGCCCCCGCAGCGATGTGAACGTTGCTTCAAAAAAACATATATTTGTGTAGCATAAACCATATATTTGTTGAAGTGATGTTGCGATATGGGATGGGTATGATATGGTATGATATGAATATTATCAGTTGAAATGTGATATATATATATAATATGATATAATATAATACAATTTAATATAATATAATATAATATATCATACTACAATACTACATGTTGTATCTAGATATAGATTGTATCAATTTCAGGTTCTTTTCATGTTCTTATGTATGACAAACATATACACAGTCACATCCCTCCTATCCTGCACCAGGCCAGCAGCAATGGAGGTCGCGCTGCCCTGGTCGGTAAGTCCCCATGAATCGTGCGGTTCTCCCATTTATAACTGGATTATAAGCCCACAAATACTAGCCAGTTATGATCTGTGGCATACATGGTGTGATATATTGGGAACTGATATGATAGTGATTTGATTCAAACAACACAAAGCGTGAAGTGAATATGGGGGGACAACTATCAAAAGAAAGGCAAATGATTTGTAGAATGGGTAGTTTAGCACCACTAATCATCTATACAATGTGGGGCCCCCTAGATAACCAAGTTGGTGCAAATGACTCCAATGTCACACCGGGATATAGTAGAATTGAATATAGCTGGCTGGTGGTTTCAAACATTTTTCCATAATATATGGGATGTCATCCTTCCCATTGACCTTCATATTTTTCAAGATGGTTTTTGCACCACCAACCAGATATTATAGTTATAAACCAACTTAGCTAACTATGGGATCCCATCCTGTATTATATTTACCATAAGTTAGTTTATAACCACCATTAAGTATAGGTATACTGTATCTACCATAAACCCAAGTTATGGGTTTTACAAACCAACTTACAACTACATTGTAAGCTCGGGAGAATCCACCAAGTTTGATCATGTTGAAAATCAGTTTGATCCTATGAGAAACACCTAGCGCCTAGTTGTAACCAACAAAACAAGGACCTATGACGTATGAGGATGTTCAACACTATATGAATATTATATATATATACACGTATACATATACATATATATAATTATATATACACGTATAATATATATATATATATTTGCTGGTAATTTTACATGGTTATTACAAATGTCCTACGTCCTATGCATGAATTGTATATATTATATTATACATTCATTTATAGACCATTTGTCTTCAATTGTTTTTTCTGTCCATGGCTTTTGAGTTAATCGTGCAAGATTTGAAAAAAATGAGTTTTGAAACTCGATTTGACCGGCATTTTATACACGAGGAGTCTCCAGCACCCTGGCGAAAATGCCGAAGCAGGCAACAGTGGCTGCTAAACCCTTGTGGGCTGATCATGAATTATATTGGGGATTACCGTAATGGTCTGGTGGTTATGTATATATATATATATTTATTTAATCCATGAACTGGGAATCCAGTTTTAACCAAGCTCTGTAGTCTGAATGACGTCTTGGGTTTTGAACACTGTTATTTTTTTGTTCATGTGGAAAAAACAACAGTTTCAGTCTTTATGAATAATACATCAAGGAATCAACGGACAAAAATCCATTGCCAGTTTAGGTTAGGTATATGATATATGTAAGCATTGAGTTGGGTTGTTAATGGATGCCACAGCCCGCAGCTCGATGAATCTGGTGTGCCTCAATCATACGTTGATTTTGAAGTCATCTAATTATAGTGATCACCATGAACTTTCAGTCACTGAGGTTGATAACACAAACTTCGATTTCTTATCAACGTTTGAAATTTTAGGTTTGTATATAAGGTGTTTGTATACGTGGTAACCTATACGAGTTGGCCCATCTTGTGTTTGTATAGGACTGCATAGGTGACCACTTATTGAGCTGATGTGCAGTTGGACATGAGAGGTCAACCCCATCTCTTGGCCTTGGCCCTGTGCTGATGCAGGGCCATTAAGCCGCATCTGATTAGGAGGTCTACCCTCTGGTAAACTAACATAACTATGGAAAATCACCATTTTTAGTGGGTAAATCAACTATAAATAACCATTTTCAATAGCTATGTTAAATTACCAGAGGGTACATCCGTTTTCGAAAACTGGATTACCTAACATTTTTTAATGTCTGAAATCTCACCTATGCAACTACACATGGAGACAGGCAGCGAAAAGATCATTACAAATCGTGGAGTAAACATCTATGTTTCTGGTTCTGTTGCCATGTTTCATTGCATGAACACCTGCAATTCAACCCTCAAAACGTCATTTCATGGTGATTTCAATGGGATTTTGATTAGCAACAAAATTTGGCAATGTTTTTGGGGCGCTTACAAGGTGGGCCACAAGACTAACATTGCTATGGAAAATCGCAATTTTGATATTGAAATCAAGTACACATGTGTGTAATGGTTTGCATAGCTATGTTAGTTTTCCAGATGGTACATTGTACAAAGAGCTGAAGAAAACAACTGATCATTAACCAACTATGAACTGAGATGACCATTCAAATTATTCAAATGTTCGACTCTAAAACCCAGCTGAGTGGTGTTTCGCTGTACTTCCTGTTTTTTTCTTGTCTCAGTATTTATTGTAATTGGATTCTGGGACGGACTAGCTTGGCTTTTACAAAGTGGATTCGAAGCAGTCCTCATCCGTGTTTGATTGGATTTGATCCATTAACGCGAATGATTTCAGAAATGCTGTGGGCCGTGGCCGTGTGTTATCTCTGGATGTGTCAAAGATGGACAAGTCTATCTGTCACAATATTGCGGAGAGATATTTAGGTCATGAGCCAAATCAGTTCCGAGAGGAGGAGATTACGCGTGATGCTCTATTGGAATTGCCCAAGAGCCTGCTCTTCGATGCGCCGATTGCGACGCCTTGGAGAGATGTTTATCAGACTTCATACCGCCAACAGCTATCGGGAGCTTTCAAAATTCAGTCGTCGGAGAGCTTTTTGACTTTCTACGCTGCAGTTTTGGCTGGTGGAATGTTGATTGATCATTTTGGCTACACGTGCATTGATTCAATTAGCACATTTAGAGATGATCTGTTTCTCATCTAGTCTGGCGAACACACCCTTGAGTTGAAGGAATTCTTGAAGAAGTCCTTTCGACGAATCGGGCTGGAAGTGAAAGATTACGAATATGTCATTGGAAGTCAGAATCATTTTGAAGTCCTTGGCTATCAAATCATCAATGGGCAATGCGTAAGTGTGGATGATAAGCTCCTCAGTAGCCTATTGTGGCCGGAGCGAATGCCACATGAATGCTATGCTTCAAAGAATATTTCAGTAGAACACCCCTATGCCTGTCCCCCACTAGTTTTCTTTTTTGGTCCTGGTCGCCTTCCAAATTGGGAGGTGTCCTGCGCGGATTGACTCGCACTTTCACACGCATGCTTTCTTCAGCCATGTTTTTTCTTATAATTTATTTTCCATTGTCCACAGCTACCCGTTTCGCTCTGGCCAAGGGGGCACGAGCCGTGTTTTTCAGCATCACCTTTCAATTCTAGGTGTTGCGAATCCATTGCCGAGAATGGGCCCACTAGGGTGGGTGGTCTTGATGAATTTTCAAGTTGCACAAATAAAGTAAATGCTTTCAAGAAAGAAAGTGGCTAAGATCATCTAAGGTTTTTCCACAGGTTGAATTTTGATGAATTTTGTATTTATTGTAATATTCCATTTCATCCAAGGCTTTGGAACATCATTTGGCCCATGATTTCATGATCATTTATGGTTTTTCATCATGGAGAAACCCATGGTTTTTCATATTTTTCATTTTGGCTTTTCCCATTGTGTATCATGTTTTCTTTGGATTATGGATTCATGTTATATCATGAAAAGTCCATCACGTTTTTCAGGGTTTTTCATCTTACTGGTGCGTTTTACGTAAGGAATGGATGGGTTGCTGGGGGTTGCTGGGATATGCTGGGATTATTATTGATAGTTAGCCAGTGGATCATTCCCGAAAATTCCCTACTAAGCCATGATTATCATCTACCACTAAGCACCAGTAAGCCAATAACCATGACAAACCATGATTCCCAATAACCATGAAGTGAGTCATGGTTTTTCATCTACCACAGCTATCGCCAGACACGGGCAGCACCAGAACTCTGCCAGCGGCATTTGCAAATGTCCGGAAGCCCCACGTTGGAGCTGTGCTTCGAGTGTCCAAATTCTCATTGGTCAAGTGTAAACTATGTCCTTTCAGTAAATAAAACAAGTTGACCCTGGCAGGGGTTGGAAGATTAGTGGAAATCACTAAACATTGCTTATTTTCAGGGTCTATGTCAATTTACCAGAGGGTAATACTTATTGTATAACATGATTGAACGAAAAACAACGTGTTTTTGCTACCATCCAAAGCCCGTTTTCCACAATAATGTGGTATGAAAGTAGCTTTACGATGTTTTACTAGTTTTTGTGTTTCCAGGGCATGTCCAAACCTTACGCTGACCTGGTTCTGATGCTGTATGAATAGTATGAAATGAATTTGTTACAACATAGGCCAGCCTGAAATCCAATCAGGAAATCAGTCAGTAAAACATGCTCCTTTCAATATAATATCAACATCAACATACATCAACATACACTGCTTTTTGGATGTGTTTTGGGCTACACCACTGTTTTTTTCAGGAACACCAATTTCCAAGCCCCGCTCTTCAAACACGCACCACGGAACGCTGGGAAACGAGGTGCAACTGCGAACATTGGAAGGTCATTCACACTTTTGTTTTCGCCGGGATGCCTGACAAGGGCTCCTGACACTCGGACATATGAGATATGGTTAGATATGGATAGATATGGTGTGATGCAGGGCCCCGACTTGGTTGATTTATATTATATATATATATATTATATGTTTATAGATAAAATTGTGTCGAAAATCAAGCACAAACCGCTATATCAATAGGGTATAAAGGGCTGCAATGGGATATAACAAATACTATGAGTATGATATTGGTTTGTCCACAAATGGCGCGCCAATGGGCCCACAAAAAAGTGGTGAACATGTTTAACCATTCATTTTTGTTTGGTCCAATCGTTTTGGCCTTAATATAACCATGGTAGTACTGTATACCATGGTATAACTAGTCAACCAATCCTTTTAATAGTAGTACCATGGTATATCATAATTTTTATGAAGTTGTTCGACCTTGGTTGACTTTACAGGAATTCTTGAAATCTAGAACCCATCCCATACGCTCCATGTATGGTATATTTACCTACAAAACTGGGTGATTTATGTTGGGCACATGTTGGTAAATATTCCGTACATGGAGCATACGGGCATGGTGGGAATCCCCAATGACGAAAAAAAATGTGTCGCATGATGGTTTTGTTTGCGCTATCGAATCAAAAGGAGTCAAAATGGCAGTATATACATATATATATATATACACACCCCCTGGTAAATTAACATAGACCCTGGCAGATAGAGGTTGGAAGATTAGTGTCCATTAAAACTAGGCTATGTTCAGGGTCTATGTTAATTGACCAGAGGGTATATACCTGGATTTATTTAAAAACAACAGATGCTATTTGTGCCACTAACATAGACCCGGACTATTTCCATCAAAAGGTACAAGGTGGTGCCCCCTAGTTGTAAGTTGGTTTACAACCCCCATTAAGTATTTGAACAAACCCGCCTTTCAAACCCTACACAATGTGGTCACCTCTATATAGATAGCTACGTTGGTTTATAACTCCCACAACTATGGTTTCTGGTAATTATAACTATAGTGAATGGGGTTTATAGAGCAACTTTAAGCTGGGGGCCCCACATGGTATAAACCACATATCAATACATATCACATGTATATAATATAAACAGCCCATACGTACCTGGAGATATTCCATCTATAACTGGATTATTTGACATGGTTGCCCACTGATCTGGGATGCACATACCCATTCCCATTAAATGCATCATGTACGCACTGTTGATGATTAAAAAACAAGTACTCATTGATCCGAGAACATGTTATAGTCATGTTCACACTAAAAAGGCTATTTGGTGATATACCCCATTCTCAGGTACACCAAATGCCAAAAGTGTTCCCATTGAAGGCTATCTGAACTCGAACATTGGCCAAACGCATTTCCCCACAAAATATCAAACTTTTCTCAACGATTGTTGGTTAGATTTCCATTTTCAGAATGCCCCAAGTTCTGAGTTTTCCAAAAAATACCAAATAAACATGTTGATATTCCATAGTTATGTTAAATTACCAGAGAGGGCTGGTCCAAAGTCCAGCATTCCGAATTGTTCCAGGTTCGCTCTGATGCTTCCCTGGACAGCGAACCCTTGGCCGTGCTCCGTGAGGCACTGGTCATTTTGAAGGGACATTTTACAACCAAAATAGGAATATATGGGACATATGATATATGGGATATATGTTATAGTGATATATGGAAATATATATATATATATACCCTCTGGTGATTTAACATAGCCATGGAAAATGGTCCATTTATGGATGGTTTAATTTACCTATTAAAAATGGTGATTTTCCATGGCTATGTTAAATAACCAGAGGGTATATATTTAAAACCAAACTAGGTTATATGGGATGGATCCAAGTACCTTCGTCGGAAGTGGGCTATGATTTTGGGGGTTAGGATAAGTACCTCACGTCATGACGTCACTGGAAACATGCGGAAAGAGAGTGCAATCATCCCCTGCCGCAAGTTTCAGCGTCATGTTACCCTCTGGTAAACTAGCAGTTTGCTATTGAAAATGGCCATAGAAATAGTGGATTTACCCATTGAAAATGGTGATTTTCCATAGTAACGTTAGTTTACCAGAGGGTAGTTACTTTTTTATAATTCAGCCAGATTTATTGCGGTTCACGAAGAATAGGATCATCTTGGACTGAGGTGAAAATCTGGCAAACCTTTGGAGTAACGTTTCAAATGAGACACGACAGGTTCGACAGGTTCAAATCCAGACGAGTTGGGTAACATGGACCCAGAAGGACAAAATCTTTGAGATTGCGCATGCTGGAGAGCACCATGCAGAAAAACCATGGGTTGCACACCGAAAAAAAAACACATCAGACTTTAATGATGTATTTTGCTGCAATACTACAATAACCAGTTAATTTCATGTGGTTTTCCAATAACTCAAAACAGTTGTTTCACCTCACAGCATCAGGGCAGCTTGCTGTGCGCCGCAAAGCCTGAGGACTGGGCCCATTGGGATCATTGGGCCCCCGCAGTTATGTGAACGTTGCTTTAGAAACCCCATGAAAACTATAGTTCTTAGTACCGTAAACCATAGTGAAACAGGAGTTATTTCAACCAACTTAGCATAAATCCCATTAAATCCCAATTGTTCCTATAAATCCCAATTAATCTTTGTTATAAATGTTATAAGAAATAAGTATATACCATAAGCCATACTTGTTACTTATTGAAGTTATGTCCACCAACTTAGCTATCTAGAAACCACAAATTCTATGTCCAATGGATTGTACCGTATTTTCGTTGTAGGCAAACCAACACCGTGGGTATTGTTGGAAAATGCTCACCATGTTCACCATGGTATCACCCCATCCAAATCATTCCGAATCCCAGCCCAATAGAATGAGTTACTAAGTCACCTTTCATTTGAAATTTATGTGACATAGGAATTCCTTATAGTTTATGTTACATAGTTACTGAGTACACTGTTAGAAATATTACTAAACACAATTTATGTTGGTTTAGGAATTGGGCTTGAACCAAAGACTTAACATGTGTTTGTTTGTGATGCTTTGTACAATTTGTGGTCAAACATGGTAGATACAATGAGGGCTCAAGCACTCAAGCAACAAGCATGATGCATTGATCAACAATAACACAAGATATATTGATCATCAACATGATATATTGGTAAACATGATATATTGATCAACAATAACAGAAGTTGTTCATCAGAACACATTCTTGAACAAGATACTTGATGGAGGGGTCTTGAAGGATGGCCACCAAAAGTATCTGCACCAAAAGGATAACACCCTTATTTTCTGGTAGAAACAATAACAGTTTCTGGTTGATATTTTGGAAGCAATTTTTCAAGACCTGTTTTTGAAAACCTAAAATGTTAGTTTGTTTTCAAACCATTTTTTTAAATGAATTTGGCAGTTTCCTATGAGTGTTCTTTGACCCTGGTTCCAATTTCCAGGAACCTCGTTCCAGCGATGGCAAGTGGGCCAGATTAGGCAGTCAAGCCAAGGTGGGCTCCGGCTCCAGGTCGTGAACGCCATTTGTTGGTTTGGTTCACACGGTCTTTGCAATTGTTTATCGTATGATTATAGTTAGATGTAATTAGTTAGATGGGTAGATATTAACGATCTACAAATCACTATATTTCTAGGTACTATGGTTTATAGAAAATTTTCTGTAGATAGCGAAATCATAAAAATCGAGAGTTAGATGGGGTTATAACTCAGGGGCATCACCGCAGTTACTGCGGTTTTCCATGGCTACCCCATGGTACCATTGGTTCCATAGTCATGGGGATACCCCAAAATGCTTGGTTGATGATGGAATCCTATGAAAAAACAAATGATTTAGGGGTACCTCCATTTTAGGAAACCTCCATATATATAATTTATGAGATGGCATGGCATACAATGTAGGGCCCCCCAGTGATGTTGTTGCTTTTTCTTTAAACCCCATGATCACTATAGTTCTAAAGTACCGTAAACCCTACTTATTGGAGTTAATTGTGTTCACCAACTTAGCTATCGTAAACGGGGAGCGGCACATTAGAATGGGCAGTAAACCAAGAAACAATCGTGTTGTTTTTTCCCGCCATATATGTTTTGTTTCTATCACTTGGTTGATTAACATCCGTTGTTGATATACCTATTTTATATCCATGAATTTATTTATATATATATATAATGTGCCATATTGTTGAAATACTGTACCATGTTCGTCCATGTTCCATTGTAATACTGACTATACCATGTTCCATTATTACCTAATTCTCAAAGTTGTGCTCGTGAACCTCCAAGCAGGAGCACGAGTTTTACCAGATGATAGGTTACAACTGCTGCGACTTCGCAAACAATCTCGCTCAAAGGATGAAAGTTGAACCTCTACCACGCCGATTCCTTCAAGCTACACGTCTGGCAGCCTTGGCTTTCCATTCAGAAGCACTGCGATGCGACTCAAATGAGGAGAGCCACTTCAGACAGCAGCTGGCATTTTGGGGGTAGGGTTCTTGACATGTTTTTTTTTCCCCCAGAATCGGTTTTCTAGTTCCTGGATTCGGGTTCGTAATTCCCTCAATGGTTTGGAACCTTGCAATATTTATTGGAGAGTATAATATACAAAACAAAGACTTTTTTTTGAAGGGGTGACATGAGAACTCATGAACTGGGACCCCTGAGAAAGCAGTCACTTTTCGAGGGGCGAAATTATCATATCTTATTCCAATGAAAAGGGCATTGCTACATACTGGGGCCCCCACATGTTACAAGTTGCGCGGATGGTTAATAACCTATATAACAAGTTCGATGATGTTCGATGTATCCCTCAACCCTATTTATTGTACAGGATGGGGCCCCCAAGATAGCGTTCAGTTGGTTTATAAGTGGCTGAATTAACTCTGGTTTATGGTAGATATAACTATATAGATAACTATATTGGTTGATGGGGGTTATAAACCAACATAAACCAACATAAACCAACATAAACCAACATAAACCAACATAAACCAACATAAACCAACATAAACCAACATAAACCAACATAAACCAACATAAACCAACATAAACCAACATAAACCAACATAAACCAACATAAACCAACATAAACCAACATAAACCAACTGGGGGCCCCTTCCTGTATTTATTCACGGCCCCATGGCGCGCGTTATCCGCGCAGGTCTGGTCTGAGATCACTTCGGATCGACCAGACTTTGTAGCTCTGGGTCGCGAGGTGATCCCCCACGGGTCAACCGGGGTCAACCGAACTCAGGAGGACTCGTTAAACAACAAGGGATGTTTTGGCATCAAACAATGTGGGGAAAAATGCGAAATCCCTCAGTTTGGTGATTGAAGTTAATCACTCCACTTTCACTATGGGTTTATTGTAGGTATAAACTCATTAAGCCTAGAACTTTAGCTATTCATGTTTTTGTTTTTCGTAGAGCAACACACATTTTTTGGGGGGTCCTCCACCTTCCAAGGATGGGATTGAACTGATGAATTTCTTGCACTTTTTTAAATGCCTACTTACCCGCTGGTAAACATACAAAAAACGATGGAAAGATCCACCATTTTTCATGGGAAAACTCACTATTTCTATGGCCATTTTCAATAGCAAACTGTTAAATTACCAGAGGGTACCCGCTGGATAAACTTGATTTTCCCCCATATTTTTAGGCCCAAATGTATGGGATAGCTACATATTCCTGATTCAGCTCAATATCTCAGGCTCACCTGCACATCGGCAGTGGGGTCAGGTGTCACGGATCCTTTTTTGGTTTCCCGGCAAGTGGCCTTTTTATTTTGTCAAATAGGTACGGCTTTCATTTTATCAAATAGAGTGATTCTATGGGATTTGACCATCAAGTATAGGGATGTAATAATTGTAAGGCTATTGAATAGGTATGGCTCCACTGTTTTAGACATTTTAGAGCCATTGGATTTGGGATAGTTCAAAAGTAATTAGTCAACCCTGGATTTTCCTTAGAGGCCCTAGCCCGGCTGTTTTCCATTGGGAGGGTACCATAAAAAAGTATCAGATGAAATGACGGAGGAATATTGATCATCCTTTTAAGGTGGCGCCACATTACCCAATTTTTGTTGCCCATCAACGCACGGAAAGAACGGAATTATATAATTAATGGTTGGTTCAGTGGTTCATTGTGCATTCATATATTGTATATTCCAAGAAATCGGATGACTCCAATGGAAGCCCTTTTTTTTGTTCAAAAACCATATGTGTTTGTCTTGTTCAGTTTTAGACGGGATATACATGATATACCTGACAGGTATATGTATTTTTATCCAGTTATGTTGGATGGGTGGGATGAAATCGCCAACTGGTTGAGACTCACTTGCATCCAACTTCTGCGCGTCACAATGGGATATTACGTCAACGAGCGGAAGGGGCATGTTGAGTGAAGGTGATGATCCATCTGACAGTGGTGAGTTTGTTTACACACGTCACATGTGTAACCCGTATATATACAGAATACATTGAACGTGTTTCAATTTTTGCATGTGTTCCATTCACTCATGATTGAACAATTACTATTAATCACTAGTCTATTATCAAATTGTTCCACAACGCAGGAATTAAGCCTGTGCAGGATACTTTTGCATCCAGGAGCGGAATTGAAGTCTGCTTGTCCAATGCTTTTTATACTGATTCAAAAGCCAGAATTTTCTGGGAATTCAGTAAATTTAAGACTATTCAAGTCCAATGATCCAATGCAAATTTTATACAAAAATTCAGCCAGCATATCCAGCACAGACTCCAGCAGTATCCACCCTGGAATCCACCCTGTCCCAGCGACGCCATGGCCGAAGCTGATGATGATGCAGGCACCGGTTCGCCGGTGATGATGGGCCACGGAGTTCCTACGGAGTTCAGGAATAGCTGAGGAACGTACGGTAACCCATGGTATTAATGGTGATTCAATGGTGATTCAATGGGATTTAATGGGATTTAATGCTGATTCAATGGGATTTAATGAGATTTAATGGGATTTAAAGAGATTTAATGGGATTTAATGGGATATATGATGGTATACCCTCTGGTAAACATACAAAAAGCTATTGAAAATGGCCATTTATAGTGAATTTACCCAGCTATAAAATGGTGATTTTCTAGTTCGCTATGTTAAATTACCAGAGGGTACATGGCTTCTAACATGTTCTAATCCACTTATTATGCATAATAAAAATCGATGGCCCATCTAAGTGGCTTTAGCCAACCAGAAATTGGGTTTGCTCAACGGAAAAACATGTCGGTTTAGTTAAGCAAAACAGCTGGGAACATTGTTCCAAAGCAAGATGACTTGAGATTTTTAAAAATGATTTTGGAGCTTTCACCAGAGAGAAATGAGGATTCACTTAGCCAGAATGGGATATGTGAACAATAATGGGGAGTAAAGTGGATGGAGAATGTTTGGTTTGATTTGAATACCATGAATTGTATTTTTTTGCGTAAACTTACAGGTGCAGGGCACGTAAGAATGGGTTGTGTGCTGCCATTTCTTGGTTTCAAGAACAACACGAGAATCAATCTAGGTAGACAATGATGAATGGTATGTAAAACATATGGAAAAACCGCTTCCTTAATTCTTATTGTATGTTTTTGACTGGGTGATCTGAACTTTTTTCAAGCTGCCAGAAATTCCTATCCTCATGAAAGCTGATCAATTTGGAGCTTCGAAGCGTCACTCAGGGAACGAAGATGAATGAAGACTCAAATGTTCAAAGTAAGATGTGGCTCATCAACATCAAGACATATCGCCAGCCTGATTTTTCTTCTAATTTAGAGAACGCAAAACATGGTTCCCATCTATATCCATCTAAGGGTTATATTCAATTATCAAACATGGGTCAAATCAGACCCTGCGAAATCGGACAAAATCTCATCCGCCAAGCCCACCAGCCTAATTGGAAATTGCGGCCCCCAAAAGGTGATAGACAGGCAATCATTGATTAATGGAATAATGGTTTCTACAAACCATAAAAAATGGTAATTGGTTGGTGGTTTGGACCATTTTGTTTCCCATATTGGGATTTTCATCATCCCAACTGACTCTAACTCCATCATTTTTCAGAGGGGTAGGTCAACCACCAACCAGTCATTACTATTAACCATCATTAACCATCATTAACCATATTATAACCATGGTATTAACCATTATTAACAGTATATTAACCAACCATAACAAAATGGTAACTTTGGGGATGGATTACTGATACCCTTGATGAATCCCTACCCCTAACAGTATTTTGGAAGCCTTTGGAATCTGATTTTGCCTTGGATGTGCTCATAATCCCAGGCGTATGTTTTTTTTTAAATCTTGTTTGTGATGGGATTATATATATATACATAGTATTATATAGATAGTTGCTGATTTCAAGAATCTTTCATAGAATTATCTAATCCATCTCAAAAAACAAGTCACGATGTTAATAGTCAACTTGGTTGCTGATTGTTCATCAACATAAGAACTATCTAATAGAACTATCTAATCCATTCTAATAGATTGTTTTTTCATGTTGAAAGCTCGTTGGCCCGCCGGCACCCGATGTCCCGGCCACTCGTTGGCCCTTTGAGCTGATCCCAGGACAGAAGAAGAACAACAAGCGCGATGCCTTGCGATCCACACAAGCCGTGCCATTCTCCATGCCGCTGAGCTAAATGAAAATAAAAAAAAGGGGTTGGTGTAACGGTTATTGTGGCTTCCAGTTTTAGTGGAAGCTTTATGGAAACCATAAAATTATGGACCTGTTACAGTGTGTTTTGTTTTTTTCCATAAATGGGATTATTACAGTTATAAGTACTAAGAAAACCCCATGTATGGAAGGTATAATCCCATAGAATTTTTAGCATGTACAACTAATGGCCATAACTGTAACTGGTTGGTGGTTTGGAACATGAGTTTTTTTTCCATTCAGTCGGGAATGTCATAATACCACCTGACGAACTCATATTTTTCAGAGGGGTAGGTCAACCACCAACCAGTGTAAGAATATCGCTTCATTTGTTTTTCATTTTCCATAATTTATGGGATGTCATCCTTCCCATTTTTATATATTTTCAATATGGTTGAAACCAGCAACCAGAATGGCCATAACTGTAAGAATATCCAAAGAATCGTGAGAATATATAATTGTGTATATATATATATATACTGTGTATATATATATATATGGTAAGAATATATGGTAAGAATATCCCAAGAATATCCAAAGAAATTGGTACAAGGGATCTCCCATCATAAGGGGACTTGCGGCGCCAGTTGATCACCATACTATGCGACACATGGGATGATTCTCCAAGCAATAAACTGACAAATGTTGAGATTTGAATTACCCTCTGGTTATTTAACCATGGAATATGGCCCATTTATAGATGGTTTGCCTATTAAACATTGTGATTTTCCATGGCTATGTTAAATAACCAGAGGGTATATATGGAACTATATATAATGATATATGTTCTATCGCTATATGTTAGAATCAGGTTTTACCAACATGTATCTTGTTGGGGTTGCTAGATATCATTTATTCTCGGATTCTATCGGTCACATCATTTAAGACATATTTCTATCATTGTTATCATTATTTATTGTTTTTTCTTCGTTATTTGTGATGGATCATTGTTTGTTGTGCATTATCGACAATCACCAATGCAATGTAAATAATGTTATACAATAGATATTCATAAACTCAATCATACAACGATTCATAAATATCCATAACTGCATTCATAAATATTCATAAATACCCATATCCACATAGTCATCTTGAAGATTCTCATCAATATCCATAGATATTCATCATATCCACCAGCTTAACCTTCTGAATTGAATGGTGAAAAATATAGATGTCATTCTGCAAAATTACATATTATAGATATCATTATTGTTCATCGTACATATCCTATTCATTATATAAATATAGTATCTTCACAATATCTTCATCATATTCATAGATATCATGATTAATCATTATTATTATTATAGTTATCATTTATTATAGATATCATTGTCCATGGTTATATGATGTTATGTTTAAATCATATTATAGATATTGATCATATATTATTATATTATCATTATATATACATATTAAACTATAGTTTAGATATTATCTATATGTTTATTTTAAACTATGTTATATAAGTTTTATAATATAAATTCATTATCCATCAATATCCATATTATATTTATCCATAGATATCATATCCACCAGCTTTATTTATTTCTCTACAGTTGCTCGCAACGTTGCGCTGAGGTTCGATCCCATCGTGGCTTTTGAGGCCATCAACAGCAACTGGATCAACGTGCCGGAGGCGTGGAGAAAATGGGCGGTACCCATAGTCAATAGTCATGGGGTACCCAAAATAGCATCACATACATATACATAACCCTATAGATATCCCTATGGATCCAATATAGTCATGGGGTACCTTCTTAGGAAGTGGGACTGGGGTATGATTTTGGGGGTTAGCCGTACCTTCTCAGACAGTGTTTGGATCCATAGGGTATATATATATAATATAATAATATATGGAAAATGGAATACATATATATAGTTTTAATGGGAAGAACGGGGAAGTTTATGAAGATATCTATAGATTTTTTGGGGTGCTGCCATAAACCCAAGAGTTGGGATAGGCTACTTAGCGAAGTTCATCGAGTAGGTTAACTGTTGGATTGGAAAGGTATATATATATATATATATCTAGAGATAGATATTTATAGATATACATATATATATAGATATATATATGTATAGATATGTAGATATATATATATGGATATATATTTATATATATATGGATATATATATATATATCATTATCCATATTTTGATGAGCGAACCTAATCCAACTTATGACTAGGATTGACTAGGGTATTCATACTTGGTGGTTCATCCTACATAGCAAGTACAGTCCCAATCGGACTATACCTGAATATCCACAATTATCCACAATTATCCCTCTTATAATACAAGCCACTTGCTAAGTGGGATGCCCTCCACCTACCCATCAAAATTGTGATTTTACCCCCAAAACTTGGTACTGTGGATGGGCCAGCGAAATCCGGAACATCACCAAGTTCGGATGGTTTTTCCACCCTGTAAATAATGGGATGTGAAATCCACCGTTTTCAACTGGTGATTCGGGCTTCGCTGGCGCATCCACCGTTAATGTTGACCAAGCCGTGCAGGGATCCGACAAACCGAGTTGGCTGGGGTATGATTTTGGTCACGTGTCTCAGCGTGGATCGGGAATGAACTCTAAGATCTAACACAATGGATTTAATGGGATTCAATGGTGGTTTAATGGTGGTTTACTGGTGATTTAATGGTGATTTAATGGTGATTCTATGGTGGTTTAATGGGATTTACCCTCTGGTAATTTAACATAGCGAACTAGAAAATCACAATTTTTTGATGGGTAAATCCACTATTTCGACTGGGCCATTTTCAAGTTCGCAAACTGTTAGTTCGTTTACCAGGCCGGGTATTTCTATCTACCATTTAGATCCATGTGGATGTTCATATCTGTTCATATCTATATAATATACCGTGTTTAGATTGTATTATTGGAAATATATACCCTATGGATCCAAGTACCTTCTTAGGAAGTGTTTGGAGTATGATTTAGGGGGTTAAGTACCTTCTCAGACAGTGTTTGGATCCATAGGGATACATATACATATAATTACATAGATTGTAGGACATCATGATATGTCACTAATCTAGATACATAGGTAGATAGAAATATACATGTTGATACCGATAAAAGAAGGACAACAACCGATGGGAACGCAAGCTCACAAACCATGACCAGATATGGATCAATCCCGCAACCAACCTCAAAATGGGAATGCAGGGGAGGTGGGGTAAAACACCCCAATTTGGAGATATTGAGGTGGTAAACTGCTACACACCCAAACATGAGGTGGCTTGCAATCCTATATGAGATGTGGTTTCAAGTGGTCAGAAGGTGTGAGTTAAGGAATCAAACCCATGCTTATGTAAAAATGGATTTTGATAAGCGTCAATGCAGGTTTCTCTTGCCCTCCCTTCGTTTTGAAAATTTGTATGCTCTTTCTCTGGATGGACTGTAGCCACTGTAGCCACGCTTGAATGGGTTTAACACGATCGACCAAGCGCAACGATCCCATGTTGAAGCTGGTTGAAAGTGGGCTATTCACCATGTTTTACCCATGTTTAACCCATGTTTTACCCACCTCAAGCTATGTATCTCTTGTTGAAGGGTATAAAAAAGCACCGTCCACCGTCGTCATGTGCAGATCTACTTGAACCCAACCACTTGTGGCCACCCACACTTATCTGGTCCAGTTGTCGCAATGCTGGAGCACTACAGACCAGCCAGTTGTAAGTGGGATAACTGGTTGGTGGTTTGGAACATTTTTTATTTTCCCATATACTGGGAATAATCATCCCAACTCCCAACTGACTAATATTTTTCACTATTTTTCAGAGGCGTTGAAACCACCAACCAGATATCTTTTTGAATTCTGTTGCCCTTACATGTCACTTAATATTACAACCATCAATTGGAGATGGGCTTCAGATATATCCAGATACAACCTATTCACATTTTATGGAACTTGTTTGTATAAAGCAAATGGTCCAGATTCTGATCCAGTCTGATCTGAACTTGAACTTGAGTATGTACTCTGATATGTGCCATGGTCGTAGTTGGATTAGATATTCAATGATATTCATACTTGGCTTGCTTATAGCACCATCAATAGGGATTCATATATATATATATATATATATATACACATAATATACCATTGAGAAAAGGATTCCCATTATGGGATGGATGGCCACAAGCTGTTTTGACCATGTTTTGTTTCCATGGCGCTAATATGTGTTTTTTCATCGACCATGAGGGCTTGGTCCCATTGGTCATCGAATATGTGGCTGTTGTGGTGTACATTCCAAATATGGTAAAGTACTTTAAATGTATGTATGTGTACAATGTGAGGCCCCCAAGATAGCTAAGTTGGTTTATAACTCCAATAATTATGGTTTATGGTACTTATAACTATAGTTACTGGGGCTTATAAACCAACTTATAACTGGGGGGCCTCACATTGTAGATATATAATTATGATAATCATAACTATTATTATCTATTATTATTACTAATATTATTGCTACTATTGAATACTATTGTTGTATAAGCCAATATTTGAGATATACCCCCGCATCAAACGTGGCAATGCAAAATCCACCAGCGATCGCCAGGCTTGATTCCACCGGAGGGTATATCCCGTGAATTTTCCTACAGGATATGGGGCCCCCAAGATAGCTAAGTTGCCTTATAAGTGGCTAAATTCTATGGTTTATGGTAGATATAACGAACTAGTTCATGGGGGTTATTATTGGTTTTATAAACCAACAAACATCACTGGGGGGCCCCATCCTGTATCACATCCCATCAAAAATCGACCCTATAGATCCAGCCGTAGCTTCTGAAAGGAAGTGGGACTGGGCTTTGACGACTAGGGGGTTAGAAAAAAGTACCGTCTCAGACAGTGGCCATGGATCCATAGGGTGAGAATCCCATGAAAATGCCATTGAAATCCTATAAAAATGCAATTTCAATCCCATCTGCCAGAAACATAGCATCTGGTTATTTGTTAACAGTTCGCCATGGTTTTTCGATGGCCCTAATCGAAATAGATGCTTTGCCGAACTGAAAAATGGGTGGATCTTTCGATGTCATTTTTTGTCGATCCCATGGATCCAATATGATCCACAGGTGGCAAAGTTGGGAATCCAAGCCGCGCACAAAAAGATTGGTTTGGCCCGCGAGGCGCGCCGCGAAGGTTGACTGGTTGGTTGTGCTTGTTTTCTGGCTAGATCGACAGAAGGGAAGTTTGACCATGTTTAAATGTGTTTAATTAATATACCGGCATATATGTTGAATATCATGTTTACTTCAAGAATGTTTCGGAATGTTGAATTATCTTTCAATGATGTTGAACGATGTTGAATGTAATCATGTCGAATAATGATTGATAAATATTGATAAGGTACGTCAGTACAAATAGCCGTAAATATGTTGTATATGTGCTAACCTATGCATATCCATAAATGGGAACACGTACAAGGTGGAGCCTCCCGTAATCTTGTTCAATACGTCACATACAGTATCTCATATCAACAAATGTCTTCAAGCCAACAGTTACTGGAGTTGTGTTTACAAGTTATTAACTTTGCTAATTAACATTTTCATCAACTATAAATAATCTTTTATTCGGTTGACCACCATGTACAACAAAAACCCAGGAACAGATGTCACTCAATGTGCTTCACAATGGGAAGGCAAATTCCGTTGGTTGACCAACACCAGAGAAATGTGGGGATTGAACCTGCAAGATGTGAACAAAAAAACTTGTTTAAACAGTTTAACAAGATATGTCCCTAATATTTATTTTGAAGGGAACATGTACAAGAAATCAAGAAACGATAAACATAGTTTTCTGTAGATGTTTACTTGAATCCATTGAATAACTTCAACAAATACAGTTGGGTTTGCCACATTTTGATCCCATGGATTTACCTATCGATTGTCCCATAGAATCCACGAAACATTTGAGGATCTCAACGCACAACTGTTGAGGATTTGATCAGTTATGATCAGTTCCCAGGGTTGATTTGTAACGACAACGTACAAGTTCAGAGTCACTTTTTGTGTTCCTGTGATTGGGCTTATATTTCATGTTCCAGCCTTATCTTCTATCTTAATCTGCTTGTGGTTTCCAATACGTTTTTCCTTTCCTATCTTGGATAATGATTTTAGTTGACGGATGTCAGTTTAAGGGTACGCCCCCAGATCGACCAAGGAAATAGGGGCTTGAGTGGCCTGATTTGGTTGGGGTGTTACCGGCCTGGGGTAACGTCCTTCGAAACCTCTACATCTAATTCGGGAACAATGCTAGTTCTCCGTTTTGATGTTGTTTAGAAAGACAATCCAAAGAGTATATAATTATATATATATGCATTACATATCATGACATCGAAATTATATATATATATTATACACAATGATGATCTTTAAATATACTTGTCATATAGTCCATATTTCCCCGAAAACTCCTCACTGTCATTGCCAACACATTATATACATTACAGGAGCGCCTCGAGTTGCAACGAGCAATGGACAATCTCCAGAAGCAGTTCCGCGGAATGCAGGCTTTGGGGCCCATTGCCCCAACGGTTGGCTGATGACGAGTTGACAAACTGGGATTTCAACCATCAACATATGGGTTTTAACGGTTTTAACGGTTTTAGCCACTGGAAATTGGGATATCATTGGGATTGTTTAAAGCAAAAAAGATGGCTAGAGTTGACACATATGATGGCTTGATTGATGTAAGTTGAAGTTGATTTAAACCAGGCATCACATGTTTTTTTTTACCACTAGAATTTGTGATATTGATATAGTTCAATGATGGCTGGTTGACCATGAATGATCATTATAGTCATTCAATAGGGATGTTAACCATCAACACGTCGGAAACTAGTTGTGTGATATAGCTGGTCAATGATGGCCGGCTGATGATTGGTGTTTTATTTTTTGCCCTTTATATACCAGGAAGTATCATAGCCCATGAACTGCGAATCCTCATGTCACACCTGACGAAGAGGTTGTATCTTGATCGGAGCAATTGGTTCCTCCAATTGGAGGTGTCCAATGGGGGTACCCAATAGCTGGATGGTTTTTGTTAAATTTTGTTAGGGACAATGCCATCGAAGAAAATGGATGATGACTGGGGGTACCCCCATGAACCGGGAAACCTCCATTTGTTTCAGACTTGGAACAGTTCCCCAGCAGTGCCAAGGCTGCCTTTCAGCGCCCAGTTTGGTCCCCCCGTGTTACACCTTATTTTTAACCCATCTCATAATCGTCATACAATCTAGTTATTGGAGTGATCAATTTATAAACCCATTTTCTTATCCATGGGATACCGCCTTGTAGGGTTTAATGGTCCATGGACAATTGATGATATCGAGATGGTTTGGGTACTGCGGCTTGACCCAGAGTTTCTCAAAATGTGCAGATGTTCAACATATAATCTGGTTATATCTGGTTGGTGGTTTGGAACATGAATTTTATTTTTCCATTTACAATAACCCCGAAAAATATCCCTATAATTCCCTATAGTTGATGATATCCTGAATTTTATGACTTTCCATTCAGTTGGGAATGTCATCATCCCAACTGACTTTCACTCCATCATTTTTCGGAGGGGTAGGTCAACCACCAACCAGTAATATGTTCTCTAACCAGGATTTTCATATATTACATATACCATTTGGTTATGACTAACATAGCCACGGAAAATCACCATTTTTAAGTTCGGTAAACCCAGGTAAACCATCTATATATTTCTATGGGCCATCTATACCATGGCTATGTTAGTCATAACCAGAGGGTATGTTCTAACCGACCACAAGGATTCAACCAACCAATCGTGGGAAAATCTGACCATGGATCTTATCATGATTCTTCAGCACTAATGCGGTGATACTTTGAATGTTTGTTTGGTACACATGAATATACTGATATATACTGTGTATATATATATAAACACCAACTGTGTATGTATATATATATATATATTTACTGTATATATATATACTATACATAAATATGGGTTTGTTTGAACATAGGGTAATCCTAAATCCCATGACTGATCCTAAGTTTCCTCTTAAGCTACCACTTGGGGCTACGTCCCACGGTTCAGACACATCCATATATCAACCGTGCAACAGAAGCAGAGAAGCATCAGGGATGTGGATAGCTGATCGGAATGTTGTCTTGCTGATGGTGGATGGAGTCTAACGTTTATAGATTACCATGGGAATATTTATGTGTATATTTATACACACACACACTTTGGTCTACATGAATTATTTCAGTTTGGTGATTTGTACTGTAGTTCAGACAGGGATGTAGTTATATAGATTGGTTGTACCAAGTATTTTCCTGCTTGAATATATAGATGGACACCCTTAAATACGCTGAAGAGACATGATTTCGGAAATTCTCAAGATGTGGATCCGAACTACTCAGTAGATATTGAAACTCTCCCGTACACCTTTACGGTTCGATGTGGTTAACCCATCATATGTAGATCATGTTCCTAAGGTTTTCCCATTGGTGTTCCACATTTTTTGGTATATTTGCCCTGGGGCCTTCCGGTGTCATCAAGCGTGGTTTGCTGGAAAAGTCAACATAGATGATTTTTCCATGAAACTTCCATTGAGTTCTATATAGCCATGTTTGATTCCCGGAGGGTATATTCATCAATATCCCATTGATACTCCACTATTATCCCATTAATATCTTGGTGGTTTGGAACACAAATTTTATTTTTCATTCAGTTGGGAATGTCATACTCCCAACTGATGAACTCCATCATTTTTCAGAGGGGTAGGTCTACCACCAACCAGCATTAATATCTTAGTATGCCAAAAAAAATATTCATATTCAAATCCCATGATTGTCCCATGAATATCTCATCCGAATCAGTTGCACATCCAAGCAGAATCCAAGTTGTCAGTTCGCCCTGAGGATTCTCTCCATGTTGGTGAACATAACTTTAAAAAAAAACATCCAAAACTGTTGGCTTCAAAAGGATGTCGAACTTGGGTTAATCAACATTTACAGTAGGTTTATGATATCTAACTTGGTTGATAACCAGGATAAGTTTGGTTTATGGATTTGTTTATTTGTTTATGCTAAATATATCGAACTAGTGTTCATGTGAATTATAAACAAACGCAACTCGGGCGCGCCACTTCATAGGATTATCAAATAATATTAATTAAACGTAATATATTTATATAAAGTTTGGTTGATGAATTTTCTCGAACCAGAAAACACACTTAAATATGGGTATAGGGAAATACTCATTAAACATTCAACTATTCAACATACGAAGTTTGACCTGTGGTCAGGGCATGGCTTAACCCATTGTCCCGGGATGTTCCCGCCAGGAGCACCACGTCCAGCAAATGAACGCCCAAACTTCTCGGGTGGATTTCCTTGAGAGAAGTACGAAGCCTGTTTGATGGGCCGGCAATGCGGGCGTTTTCTGAGAGATGTTTGAAAATTCGGATGGAAAAACCGCTATAATGCCATATAATCCCAAATGATTGAAACATATTGGAACAAAAACGCGAAACCATGGTAGTAGTACGGCATTAGAACACAGCTTTGGGACCATTTAAGGGAGCTGTTTTCTACATAAAGGGGACGGGATGATAGGCACACAGTGGTTTGTTTTTTCGTAAACTTGGAACGAAACGACATAGAAATCCAGAGTCCAGGATTAGTAATTTGGATATCCAGTGACAGATGTGCCAGCAAGGCGATTGGAACAGAATAACGAATATCAATAGGCTGCCAATTTTTTGATAGTGATTTGAATCACAATGATTTTTGGAGTAGTCCCTTTATTTTTATTTTTTAAATGCAATGGAGTGATAACCAATTGAGGGGTATAATTGTTTCCAGCTCTCCACTGGTTAGCCATAGACTTAGAGACCGCAAAGTGAAGCAATAAGGTCTGGGTAAATTATAACGACCTCACTGTTCGACCTCACTGGAATCATGGTAAGGGGAATAGCCTTATTTCAGCTTGGTGAAATATTATAATTTACTCAGATAAGGTTTTTACTAAGCTTACTAAACCAGAAACACACAAAGTTTATATGCTGAGAGCAATCAGCAAAGCACCAAGATCATGCTGCAAAGGCAACAGCCCGGTTTGCCCAGCATTGGTACCCACAAAGCATGGGTTGATCACGTCACCACATGGGGCAGATAGGGCCCTTCGTCCGTCCACCAAATTTAGAGGATAGTACGGGGGGTTCAAAACCTGGAGAACCAACGATTTGGTCAAGGTTTCGTATACCAAAAAGAAACGACTAGACCTATACATTGAGGTTTCCTAAAATAGAGGTACCCCCAAATGGATGGATGGTTTATTTCATGGAAAATTCGAGAAGAAAATTGATGATTTGGTGTACCTCCATTTTAGGAAACCTCTATACATTTATACAATATGTCATCCAACATCATCCAATTGTGTATTGAGGAACCCAAAAAATCGACCCATATCCATGTTCTGGAAAAGATGCTGCATGTTTTTGCTGCCGCTTTATATCAATCCGCAGAAACAAAGTCGTAGGCCGGTATGTAGCTTCAAACAACCTGTCGTGCCTCGGAGTTGAGACGGATTGTAACCCTCAATCACCAATTCACCATAGTTGTTTCTTTTATATCCACCACAAAACCCAGTTATTGAAATTATAAACTAACTTAGCTTAATTATGAGGCACTTTTTCCCCAGAGCTTGAAAATCAAAGCTGATTTCATCGCAGAGCTCTATGGTTTCGACAAAAAAAATCAAGAATGTCCCTAGGTGGCTCTTTGTTGTTTAACCACACTGAACAATGCATGGTATTTTCATATTGAACGGGGTATCCCCGAAAACGGCAGCCACTCCTACAACTGAAGATTCCTTGGATTTTCCACTCGTCTACCGACAGCACTATGGAACAGCTTTAGATCTCCTGATCAGTTGGCCATGGGCGGAGAAAAGAAGGAACATCCACACCATGGCATTGGCATGCTGGGCCATGTTGCTCGGTGATGGATCCAGAGGGTTTGATGAATACCTACAAGGTGGTGCTCCCCCAGTTATAAGTTAGTTTATAAGACCCATTAAGTATATATAGGTATATTTACCATAAACCCAAGTTATTGGAGTTATAAACCAACTTAGCTAACTATGGGCACCACCTTGTTATAAACTATTATAAAGTCAATAGAAACCGCAGATATCCAAAGGTTAAAATAGTGAGGACTCTTTGTTGGTCAAAGGTAGGCCAGGACATGGGGCAATTGTTTCTTAAGGAGACTGTTTTGGGGGTACGGCTTCAGTAGGAACAAAATTCCTCCACCTTTCTTCTCGGTATTTGGATCTATTTAAGATTATTCACAAGCAACATCTACGTCACCGGAAAGCGGCATGTTTGGGCTCTTTGTTGTGTCCATGGGTGGTTTCATGTGGCTCAACATGTGTTCGAAAATGCGGTCTACCCTAAAACCTAAATGAATTGCCATAAGGAACATAACTATGATAAATAAACATAACTATGGAAAGATCACCATTTTCTAGCTGGGTAAATCAACTATAAAAATATGGTTAAAGTAACCTCACGTCATGACGTCACTGGAGTGATGGGAATTGGATTCGGGGAACCATCCCTGGATGGCCGCAAGTTTCAGCCAGCACAAGTTGAACGTACCCAAATGGGGAAATTCGTACACCAGTGAAATTTGGGGCGCCAATTGGTTTGGGACAAAGCCATGTTAGACTGGTTGGTGGTTTGGAACATGTTTTATTTTTTCCATATATTGGGAATAGTTTTCCCATTTGACTCATATTTTTCAGAGGGGTAGGTCAACCACCAACCAGATATGTTCCATGGTGCTGGAATATTTACCAACATTTGCCCAACATAAATCACCTAGTTATGTAGGTAAATATACCATACATCTGGGTAAATTATAACGACCTCACTGTTCTCCCTCACTGGAATCATGGTTTATTTCAGGGAAATCATCCCCAAATGGCCCAACATTTCAGGTTAGTGAAATATTATAGTTTACCCAGATACATGGAGCATATTATATAATGACTTGTTAAATTTCTGAACATAGATGGGATGCTGATGTCCACTGGTTTTGCTCAACCACCAGGGGTAAACTAGCAGACTAATAACCACCATGGTTTCCCTGGGAAGATGATCTACAAGTAGTGGGTTCTTCACATATATATATATATATATGCTACTTTAATGGAGGGCAACCAAGAAACATAGGGATATTGATATATATATATATATATGTGTGATTTTTGGGTGCAGCCACGCAGCCACCCTGGCAGAGTGGCTGCACAAGCCACAAGCCGCCACTCAGCTACTCTGGCAGAGTGGCTGCTTCGATTTCTCGTGCCGTGCTGCTTATTCACTCTAAAATTTCATGGTGATTTATTAACATGACGTGACGTAACCATCATTTTTTCTGGGCAAATTACAACAGCCTGACGTCGCGACATCAGTTGAATGAGGGTGGGGCGATCATCCTGGCCCAACGGCCCGGCAGACGCACAGAGATCTCCTTGCCCATGTAGCTCCGGGGATCTTGAAGGATATATAGTCTGCATTGGCAACGAACGTGTAGGAATGTGTCGGAGCTACTAAGAAAACTCAGAAGATCCTGCAACATGCTATTGTTCGATGATGATTCACTTTTTTTGGGGGGAGGACCCGTATGGTCCATTGTTGGTCAGCCTGTAAGAGTCTAGGCGCCCATGTTTCAAGTAATTTTTTGGAGGCGATGATCTAAAGGTCGATGACGAGACTACCCCGCGTTTTTGATGTTTTTGTTCTGTCACTTTGAATCGCTTAAGAAACAACACCTGTTACCTTTACAATTGGTTAAGGTTCATTCAATTTCAATTGACTTGAATAGGTTTCGGCCCATCCTGATTTTGAACATCAACCACCCAATTTTTCACATGCCAAACTCCATGCGTAAGCGGCACCGTCGGCACTTTTCCAACGCTGGCTATGGAAAATCCACCCGTTATAAATGATTTACCTATAACTTACCTTTTAAAGATGGTGATGTTCCACATGCTACATTCCCAGTGTGTGTGTGTGGTTATTTAAATTGCCGTGTGCTTTTCGTGACATCTTGAGGCTGTGCAGAATCATGTGGAGTCCTTCAACGCCTTTCTGAATCACTATTTGGAGAGAACTTCGGCGGCAATTTCTCATCGGATTTAGATAAGCAGAACCTGGAGGATTTTCCAATTTTGTGATGGGTCTGACGCCTCCCAAAAAAACAGATGATTATATAGTGTAATTGCCAACAAAACGGGTAATTTTTCACGGTTCATCCATGCAGCCCATCTATGTCACCTGTCTTGAAGTTTAAATTTACGCTCAAAACAGAGCTAAAGAACCGCAACTTTGTGTTACCTCCAAAATGTGTTCAAACAAAGGACAAAATGTGCCCTGATTCAAAATGTCTAGTCCCTTGTTTTGTAGAACTTGCTGAGTACGTCGGTATATCATTGCTGTGTTTTTCGTATCTCCATCGACTTGCACTGCTGAAACATGCACAGAATTGGTGGAAGGGATAAGATCTATGATATTTGGAGGATCATGCCGCCATGCCGCTCAATAACTGGATATAACTGGTTTGTTATAACCAGTTATAACCAGTTATAAATGGATAAGCCCACGATTCATGGGGCAGGAACTTGTTTAACCGTGAAGCTGTTTGGATCCGTGGCATCAGTTTACCGACCTGTTGAACACCTTGTATGTTCCAAGTCCTCCCTGTCCAGTAAAGTAGCATAGACTTTTTAAGCATAGATCATTGGATCATCCCTATGGATCCAAACGCAGTCTGAGAGGGTACGGCTAACCCCCTAAATCATACCCCAAACACTTCCTAAGAAGGTACTTGGATCCATAGGGCATGAAAAATGTGGAAACGTTGACCACGCCGCTCCGCAGACATCGTGGACGATCTGCCCGTGTACAACTTGCCAGATCCTGAAGATCCAGGCCGTTCATCACCTTGGAACTGGATGTTTTTTCATGGAGATCAGTGGAATATATGGAGATCAATTTGAATTCCAGTGAAATGGATGTTTCCAATGGGGGTATCCCAATAGCTGGATGATGCTGGATGGCTTACGGAAAATCCATGAACATCCATCTATAAATGGATGATTTGGGGGTACCCCCATTTTAGGAAACCTCCAAATACATATTATATATAATTATATAATACTCTATAGGCACGGGCACAGGCTTAGGTAGCCACCATTTTCACTCACCGTCTGCCGGCCCCAGTTTTTTAAGGATACATCCAATAAGGATTCATGCTCTTCCTTTGGCATGCTCGCCATGGACGTTTCGATCTCCAGTACAAGTACATGTCTCCTTGCAGCTACATTTCTCTGGGGATTCTATGTC